ATATATTTTAATTATATAAAAAAAAATATTACACCCAAAGGGGTTCAAACCCATTCCCACTTGGTTAAGTATCTTTAACTTAAACCATTTTGACAGCAAGTTTTTTCTTGCCAATACCATTATGAGTAGCATATTTAAAACAAGCTTGATCATAATTGTTTAATAGGTTATCAATTCCCATCTTTCATCCAATCCGCATCTTTTATCTTTTCCCAATTCAGATATTTCATCTTTCCTTAACCCTAGCTGAAAAAACCATCTTTCCCAATTCCCATCTTTCATCATCCTCTCCCTCTCTCTCTCATTATGTTTAACTTCATCTTTCTCACACTCTCAGAGAGTGCTGCAATGGCACCCATGAGTCTTCCTCCTAGATTCAGATTCCACCCAATGGATGAAGAGCTTGTTGCTTACTATCTAGATCGAAAAATCAATGGTCGCACCATTGAGCTAGAAATTATCCCAGAGGTCGACCTCTACAAATGTGAGCCATGAGATTTGCCTGGTATGTACTTGATTTTGTTTTGTTCGATCCGCAAGATGGAGGTAAGGTTTAATTCTTGGTTTTCTGGGTGAACTGGAAAAAAGAATAAATTGTGGGGTTTTTTTTTTTTTAAAAATAATAACTGATGTTGCAGGTTTGTTAATTCATGTGTTCATTATAGGAATGCTTCATGGATTTGACTACAAGTTTGTTAATTTTAATAACTGATGTTGCAGGTTAATTTCTCATTGTGAATGCTCAAGGCAGGGAAGCATGTGCTTCAAGCTTTAGATTTTTTTTTAAAAACAAAAACATAGAAAAAACCGAACCAGGCCGAAACCAAACCAAAAAAAATCAAAACAGAATAAAATCGAACTAAAAAAACTGAAAAAAAAAAAAAAATCGAACCGAATAGTAACTTCGATTTGGTTTCCAGTTTCGATAAAAAACCGAACCGAACCAAACCGAACCCATCCCTATCAGTGAGTGCTAAACTTTGTTTTGATTTAAATTATTGTTTTCTAGCGTCAATATATTGTCCTACATTTTTTAACACTATCTTAAGAAGGGGCGCTTTTATAAATTTTGCACAGGGTCCCCAAAATCTTAGAGACGGCCCTGCTTTTGTGTTGCCCATGTGTTAAAAATAAATTTAAATTCCACTAGGGTCCATGCATAGGCTTATAAATAAATTGAATTCTTTTTGTCAAATAGTTGTATGATGTAACATAAACTTCTTTTATAATATCAGAGCTTAATTACTTATAATACCAATTAATAATAGATAAAATAGTCAATAGAAAAAATAATCAAACTTACTTATATGTCGAACGTACAGGAAAAGGATCCAGTGAGGAAGGATCATTTTCCTAGGGATTCCGTAATCGTGTCTGTTCATTGTATATTGTATGATCAGAAATTATTTAAATTTTAAAATTTAAAATTTAAAATTTAAAATTCAAATATAAATAGTACCTAACGAAAACTGACCGTACGATGTACGATGAACGAACACGATTACATGATCTCTAGGAAAAGAATCGGACGAGGATAATTTTCCGAACTTACATTCTCAAATGTGTTGGCGTGTCCCCATAGCAAAAATTGTCGACACTTCATGTTTCCTAAACACGTGTACATCACCGATAACCTATGAAGCATAAACCCAAACTGACATGAGCAGCCACCTGCCTAGTTCCCACATGACCCATTTGTGTGATTTTTTTTTTTTTTTTTTTTAGGGTCGACAGGAATTTTTATGGACAAATTACAAGGATTCCATAGCTGAAAACGAGAAATAAAAATAGCTCTAAAAAAAGGGTCGGACAAGACGTCACATATGCACATAAGTAGACGAGTAGACGAGTGAGGTTTATACTAACACTAAATTGGAAGCAACTCATGGATTCTATCAAGTTCCTCAACGGCAGCGGTGGAGGACACATATATAAAAAAATTGCGACGGGAGAGAGGAAGATGTAATTGAGTAGTAGATTGTGGAGGCCAACAAGAACTGCTTTCTCTTCGAAGATGTCTGCAAGTCCGTCCAGAGACTTGTGTTCTGGTAATTCTTAAAACCCTTAGCCTTCTCTCCATTTTGATAACGATTTCGTTTTCTGTTTTAATTGTTTCGTTACATTTTATTACATAAACATTATCTCATGTTTATATATCATGTGTGCGTGTTCAGTTATGGAGAGTTTAAAGTATGCAAGGTCTCATGAGTGGGCGAAAGTTGACGAAGGGAAGTTGGCTACAGTAGGAATAGCAGACCATGCTCAGGAACTTTAGGTGACATTATTTACGTAAAGCTGCCTGATACTGGTGTTGCAGTTACACAAGCCAGCTCTCTTGGAAGTGTTGAGAGTGTGAAAGCCTCCACCGACATCAAGAGTCCTGTCTCGGGCAACAAAATTGAAGTGAACGAAGAGCTTCTTAGCTCTCCAGGTTTGGTAAGTTAAGAAACATCATATGCTAATTTTTCCATTATTGTTAAAGCATATTTCTTACATCGGAAACCTCAAGAAATTAAATCTCACCTATAATGAATCGTTTCAACTACTAATTACATTGAGACATTTTGGGTAAAAAAACTCTAGACCCCACACTTACTAAATTGAACATCTAGTCAAGTTTAGAACAATATTCACTGTTCTAAAAATCTTTGTCTAACGCCGTCTAAGTGTTGTGCGGCTAGTCACCGCCCTGATTAATGCTTGGACGTTTGAAAATTAAGAGAGGATGCCAAAACCTACTGAGGAACCCGCCTAGACCTCCTAAGCACCTGCCTCTACCTAGGCACCCGTCCAGACCCGCCTATGTTGCGACTCAGACAGAAAATAGATAATTTTCATTTTGCATTTTATTTTTTTAATAAATTGTAAGAGACTTATTGAATACTTAAATGAACACATATTATATGCTTGTTCCTCATGTTTTCATTATGTTCTAATACTTCATAAATACATATGTCATTCTATTTTGTACTTTATGATGAAATTATATATATTTTAAGTATAAACAGACACTTATTTACACGAAATATAATAGATTTACTTAAATCCGCCTAGTCCGTCTAGGCCCCGCCTAGCTACCTAGCTGCTAGGTCCTAGCTTGCCGCCCAACTAGCGTCTAGCATCTTTTAGATTAATAGTAGACTGCTAGACTAAGAATTTGACAATTATTGATTAATGAATCGTTGCTTAGTTAAACAACTAACTAGTATACACAAAGTGTGTGTGAAATGTTTTACTTTTATTTTTAAAATTGAAGAAGAGAGGAAAAGAGCGAGAGAGAACATTGCAGTGGGGAAAGGGGTTTAATTTTTTTAAAATTAGAAATGTTAAAATCACTTGTAGGTGATCCTTAAACAAAAAAGAACAAAATTTTGTTTTGGGAAATTATATTATTGCTCTTAACTTTTTTGTTTTGATAGAATACTAAATTGTCTTTTTTGACAAAAAGAAATAGGTAAATGGAAGCCCTTATGAACAGGGGTGGATCATGAAGGTGGAGATGAGCAGTAGGGATGAGCTCGATGACCTAATGGACCCTGATGAGTACTATGAGTATGTGAAGCAGAAGATTCCAAACATTCCAGAAGCTGAAATCAGTTAATTACATATCAAAGTTCTTCTTTGTTTTTTTCACAAAAAGAAAAGAAAAAAAAAAGGTTCTTTTGTTGGTAATACAATGCTTAATGCTGCTAGATCATAAAATACTTCTGCAATGTTTCAACTTCAAATACTTCCCTTTCTTTTTCGATATGCTCTTTTTCTTAATTAGCTGTTGGGAGAAACATTGGTTGGAATATTCAATGTTGTCCAACCTTAAAATAGTTCTTCGAGTTTGCACCTCGATCAGGTGACAATTCCTATAAAATTGTAATCAAACACAATTTTTAAGCTCATTATAGTTTAAGTCACAAAATATTTTAAATATTAGAATTCGGTCAATCATTGGTACCTTGTTTTAAGGATAGGCCAATGAAGAGAAATTTAAGCACAGATGGTGGATAGAGGATTCCTCTTCATTCAGGATTTAAACCCTCTTCTCATAGTTTAGAGGTATTCAATGTAGGTTATCATATCGTTTGTCAAAACAGGAGGGAAATATAGGCAAATTGTATTGATCCTGTTGGTGAATAAAATTGTTTTCATTAATTGACCCGAGATAGTCTATCTGTCCAAGATACCAAACAAGACCTCTAAGGAACTAAGTAGTACATTTCATACAAATCGTAAGTAAGAAAGATCATATCTAGTTCAAAATCAGTTACACAAAATATAAATCAGTTTATGACATTTCAATGACACAAAAAAATGGTAGCACTTATACCAATTGGCAGTACCACCAAGGGATCGGGGAGTTGAAAAGTCCGAAATAGCTCTGAAGACAATGCACATGTGGGTTTTTTATTTTTTGAAAGTTTGATGAACATGTGTGAGATGACAAATGAGAAAGTTTAAAAAATTAAAATGACAACGTGCTTAAAATTATAGTTCAAATGACAACAAAAAAATGAGTGTAAGTTCATATAATATTTTAGATAACGTCCAAACGCAAGTAGTTGATTGGCCTCATTGTTAAAGTCTTTCTCTTCAACTCATCGTGTCCTGAGTTCAAGTTCTTCCCATCTCCCCTTCTTTTTAGTGTAAATTAGTATAAATTATTGCTTGTAATAAAATTTTAGGAATTTTAACAAAACACTCCTGATATTTTTCACTTTTGACGAAAATGATATTTTTACTCTAAAAAGTCACTCCTGATACTATTGACTTACAACACATTTTTGTCCTTTTGATTAAACTCAAAGCTTTCAAGCTTTTTTCATTATTTTTCCTTAAAATTTTACCGTCCAAGAGATGTTTAATTAATGGAAGAAACATGCACATGGGCCAGTGGCACCAGCTCAACAAGTGAATGACTGGTGTGTAAACTTGGTCCAGTAAACCATACAAATACAACCAACTTGCTTTTAAGTTGCTGCTTTTCTATCCTCCATATATATGTATAGTTGGAATAGATGTGATGCACCTTATCCACTCTCAGCGAAGACCACTAGATATTCTACAGAATTAGGAAGCGAAAGGAAATCAAAGAAAAGCATGGACGGGATACAACAACTAGGTCTTCCAGTTCTAGGAATTGTAGCTGCTGCAGCTGTTACCTTCTATGCTGTCAGCTTTCTTGAGCTCAGTGAGGTAACTTCTCTCTCTCTCTCTCTCCCACAATCACAAAATTTAATCTATGTTGTTTTTCATTTTCTCTAATTATATGGTCAAATAAATCTGGATATTTGTACCAAAAGATTTAAACAAGTGTTATCTTTTCTTTGGTTGAATCTGCAGAAATCGTTTAGGGATCTGGACGAGAAAGAATATGGTGAAAGTGGTGGATATAAGCCATCTCCAAGCTCTAGGGTAAAGCGCGCCAGAAGAAAAGCTGAAAAACAAGCCAAACGTTGAAAGCAAAACAATGTATACAGAGTTTTAATTTCTATATACCTTCTCAGTAATACTGTGGTTCTGAAGTTGTACAATGTTAATTCTATAACATGTTCTTCCCTTCTCACAACAAATTATTCCTTCTAAATATGATTATCTCGGTATTATAAAATGGAATTTTTTTTTTCCTCCTTATTGCATGTCGTTGGAGTCCTCTTTTTTTTTTTTCCTGACAAATCAAATATCCGAGTTGGAGTCGTTCCATTTTGCAAACAAATTATATCGGAGCTCCTTTGCTCAGTATTAGGGATAGCAAGGTCATAAATAGAGATAACGAGCCTCATAAACTTTTATTTTTGTGATTTTAATGAAGTATTTTAGTATGTAACGATATTATAGAATGTAGACACTGTCGCCATTAGTTTCTAGTAAGCCTGGACTGCTTTGATTTTTGAGAGATCTCTTATATTTAGATTTTGAACTTGATTTATTCCTCTAAAGGTACCAATTTCCTCCAGCATTTTGCATTAGGAAAATGATTTTTGCTCTCATTTTTCTCATTCTAATGTACTCCCTTCGTTTATACCCCTCGATTCTCTTTATTCAATCTAATAGCTAGAAAAAAATAAAGTTCATAGAGAAAAATGAAGTGCAGATAATAAAGGAGGCCTAACGAGGAAGGAACTGATTATCACGGAAACCTGAAAATCTTATTTTATATATACATCTTTCGGAAGTAGGCTGATAAATTGTGTTATCAACATGATGAGGAAATTCGAACTTGAAACCTCTTCCAACATTCAAAAGAAAAGTACAACTAAACCGACAACTGTTGGTGAAGTAGGGCTTTATTCAGAATATCATTCATTTAATAAAAACACAAAGGGGAAAGGATTTTGCTTTTACATAAAAGTCTACATTTTTTTTCACCATCGTCAGATATCAATACATTTACAAGTTGCAACTACTTCTGCTTAGATTTGAGTTCCTTCACATATTCTTCAGTGTCCTTCAATGCTTTCCCATAAAGGCTTATTAACTGGAAATGAAAACACAGGTTCTGGTTAGCATGTTCGTAAGAAACATACTCCAAAAACCTTTTCCACGATGCAAGTATTACTCAATTTTAAGAAGATTGGAACAAATCGGGAATAGCCTACCTCGTCAACCTCACTAGGAGTCATAATAAATGGTGGAGACATCATTATGTTATCCCCAGCGACACGTACTAGCATCCCATGCTTCTCGCATTGGGCTCCAAAATATGCACCTACCCCTGTGATGCATATAATCAAGGCATAATGTATAAGCTAAGACAGTCCCGATATTACAGAAACAATTGCTTCTGGTCACCATGCCAGTCAATCAGAAAAACCCGCCAGATATCACAAAATAAAACAGCAATTAGGGGAAAAAAAAAAGAAAAAAGAAAAAAAGAAGAACAGTATACACATCTTAGCACACCAGCCCCATAGTGGTTTGCGCATGTAGGTTTCTCTGTCCATAGTCCATATAAATAATAATTTCTTCTGAACATACTGTAAAACAGGTAGGACTATTGAACCGGATCTCTTTGATAGGTTTGGACTGCAATCTTATATGCAAATGTAGCTCAATTATACCCAAAAAATTTCCCATAAAAACTATCCATACTAGATTTACTCTACGTCATTTTTCTTTTTAGCGTAAAGATGAGACTTACCCCATTCAGCAGGAAATGGATCATTGGGTGACTTATTGTCTGTGAATTCTGTACCAAGGATAAGTCCAGTTCCCCGTATCTGCATAACCGACATAAGGAGTGCCATGTTAATATTGTACTGATTGTAGTTTCTCTTTCTGATTTCTGTAGTGCAAAAAGATAAAGTAAAAACATGTACCTCCCCTATGATTGGACTATCAGAGAAGGCTTTTACACCATCTTGAAATCTTGGGGCAATGCTCCGTACTTGTTCAACAATATTTCTTTCCCTACAAACAAGTGAAATGTTAATTGCCAATTACCAAGATTGGTGGTCAGCATGAGATCAATGCTGTTTCGTCCAGATTCTAAACATGGTTGGTTTAAATCCTTAAAAGTTGGAACCCAGATAACTTTGCTTTTAAATTGTTTGAACCAAGTAAATAAGAACATACTTGTAGATCTTGAGTGTTTCAATTGCAACTGCACAGGCTACGGGGTGTCCAGAATATGTAAACCCATGAGAAAAAGAACCTGGCACAAAAGAAATCGACTTGTTCAACAATAATACCTTGGAATGGAATTTGATTAGTTTATAGTACCAACATACCAAGCTTGCTGCTTTGAGAGTGTATGACATCTGAAACTTCAGGGCTCACAAGAACAGCGCCAATTGGCATATAAGCAGAAGAAAGAGCCTGGAACATCCAACAACACAGCAATGAGGAAACAAATATTTCTGTGGGATGTGAAAGTGCAGCTCTTTATTTGTAGGTTTGTACATAGTTTCATTTTTACCTTTGCCACAGACACAAGGTCTGGTTTAATGTTGTATTTGTCACACCCATACATGTAGCCAAGCCTTCCAAATGCACAGATTACCTTAAGAAGTAAAGAAATAAAGCCTAAGCTTAACAACCAACATATAAAGCTGACTTGAAAAATCAGTTTACATTAAGGAAAAGAATTCCATATACCTCGTCGGCAATAAATAGAATGTCATATTTCTTCACAACAGCTTGAACCTGCATCAAATAGGAAATGCTTGTCCATTACAAAGATTAAGAGCGACAGAGTCGTGTCTGTTCTGAATGAAACAACACATTAAAGCTTGCAATCATCCAGTAGCAGTAATTCCCATAATGAATTAAATCAACACAAAGCAGGACAAGTACAAACCAAGTATGGGACGAAGAATGAATCACTTAAAAGATATATTTCAGCTCATCTCACTGTAGTGGACTTGATAACATGAATGGTTCAGTGAAAACAACTTATATAATCGGCTTTATAGACACTAACATGGTAGGCCCAACCCAGCTAATAGTACAACAGTTTTAGAATAGCCTATACGCATCAGGTGACAAAACCAAAACGGCATTAAATTTAAATGAAGCTTGAGCTCAGATACCTATTGTGATAACTAAGTACATCCAATGAAGCATTTGCAGTACTGTTCAGTTTGTAACACAATGTGCAAAAGCTCACCTTTTCAAAATAAGTTGCAGGTGGAGTTATAACACCGCCTGCTCCCATGACAGGTTCAGCAATGAACGCAGCAATCTGAAAGTAGCAAACACACCGGCTCAAAAACACAAAGTACCCTCGGCATTTCTAGATTTTGAACAATTCACCTGAATAACTTACCGTCTCTGGTCCCTCTTTGAGGATAAGATTTTCCAAATTGTTGGCTAGTCTTGTAGAGAACTCTTCTTCTGTCTCACCTGGCATATATCAAGCTAAAACTTTAATAAAATCAGTCACAGTTAAATCTCAAAGATTAGATCAGTGTGAAAATAGACCAGGAAGGTGATGGCGCCAATAATGTGGGCAGTCAGTGTGCAATGCAAATGGAGCTGGAAGATCAAACTTTTGATGCAAAGCAGGGAGGCTGCGAAGAAAGAATAAAAGAGTAAATGGACTGAAGGATGATTTTTCGTGCAAAATTCTCAAGAATATTTATCCTACCCAGAAAGACTTGCGGCTATTAAAGTTGAACCATGGTACCTGTTAGGATGAAAAGGCAACATCAAAGGACTGGTTACAATAACTAAAGCAAATAAAGCGAAAACAAAAGGAGTTGAGAAAGTTGAAAATACGATTTATGTCGAGCTATGAATTTCTTTTTATCTGGGCGTCCAAGTGCATTATTATAATACCAAACCAGCTTCACCTACAAAGCAAATATTTCAAATAGTTAAAAAGATCTGTAATAACCAAACTGGATATTAATTTCTATAATATCATTTTTGAACTCCTGAATAAACAAAGCAGTTCAACTGGTTACATTCTCATGAATTGGGTATTCAGGCAACTCAGATATCTTCAAACTTTGCGGAGTTCATAAGCTTTTCAGATTTTGAATTTCCTTTGATAATTACATGGAAATCAAATTGAACAAGTATAAATAATTGTTTCATAGTTCTGCTCCATGCCAATAAGAAAGATATCGAAGTCCTCCAATTTGGCTACTTCGTCCAAATGCGTTGTATTAATTAATTAATGTTATTCTCTCAACAATTAGTTGAAGTTTAGCATCATGTAAAGCTAGTATGTAAAATGCAACATCAATCAAAATTCACATTTCCATCTTAGATAAATTGGAAACTGTAGTCAAATAAATTTCTTCTACGATTGAACCAAACCTGAGTATCATTGGCTTCGGATCCACTATTAGTAAAGAAGGCTTTTGCCATTTTTGTAGCTGTAAAAGTTTCTAGAAGTTCTTTTGCCAAGTCCTGTAAAAGAAAATACGTTGCTAAATATCACATGCAGGCATCTTAAGAATGTATCCATTAAACTATGTGGAACAGAAAATAATGAATCTAGAATTGCATATTAATATAAAAGAAACTAGGAAGTCAAGAAACAAAATGAATACCAAAGATGGTCTAGTAGTACGATTCCAAAATGAGTGGTAAAATGGCAAGGTATTCAACTGTTTAGTTGCTGCCGCAACCAGTCGAGGTTCATTTCCACCTGCAAGTTTAAACAATAAAAATATTTGAATTCAAATCAGTTATTCAACATATCTACTTTTTGACAATTACACATAACAAACTTACAATCGTGAGGTCAGGAAAAGCTACAATAAGATAACAGGGGTAGATTAGGATAAAGGCTAATAAAGGAGGTCAAAGAGGCTAGTGCAAATAGTCTGATTCAAGAGCAGGGTGCGCAAGAAAGCTGTAAATACAAGGCTAAGAGAGGGGGACGGTATTCTTAGATACTTAATCCACATTTTCACTTCACTACAAAATATAAGCATACTCGAGACTTCTTACCTTTTTCTATTTCTTTTTTTTTTTTTTTTTTTAATAGTAATAACAAAAGCTGAGGAATATGAGAAGTTAAGTTTGGTTGTGAGCCATGACACTCTTCCTCTCTACTCTGGATGTGATATAATAATATTCAAACATAATGATGAGAAATGAAACTGAAGATATATTACAGAAGCAGTCTTAAGAAGTAAAGAGGAAGATGCATGCTTCAAGCTGAAGAAAAAAAATGATGG